AATGGCGGATCAAGAGCACAATGGCCAGAAGTTTGATGATTTCCCACAGTATCAGCAAGCAGTAAATACTAAAACAGTCTATATATGCTCAAAGAGCACTGCACGAGTGGAAAAACCAACGTTAACGAGACCCAGTAAGTACGTCCAATAGATCGGAGACTACACCCTATTGGGAGGTGTTAATGGAAATCGGAGTATAAAAATAGTGGTGTCTAGCTGTGACTGGAGGCGCGAGGGATTTTAAGGGTACCTAAAGTATTATGGGCATGGAGGGTCTTCTCTTAATGTCGAATGTACCCGCGACCCAGTAGATTAGAGGTTATTATTGATTGGCCATGCGTGGGGCTGGCTCTAGATACCACCAGCTGGGCGGGATGGGTCAGGATTTGCTTTCAGTTAGGCCCCCCGGTCTTAGATCCTTCCTCTTCATTCAGACGGCATCACTTACTACTACCAGAGAAGGAAATCTGTCTATTTATCATAGAATCCTCTCGCTGTAGGTTCTAGTGGTAAGTACTGAATTTATGAATATCCGAATTTCGTTTCATAAACTACATATACATATCTACGAGTCAACAATCCAAATCTGAGATGATACTAATTACAAAGCTTATCACTCCAGAAACATCTCATATATTCCGCCGCCTCGGCAGGCGCGCGGCGGTGAATTGAAGAACTTTTCTCACATCGGCCCTAGCATATGGCTACGAGCGAAATTCAACGCCTATGGGGAACTACTTTAAGTGCGAGGTGCATACCAGCGCACCGACGCTAAATATCCATTCATATACTTCTGCACTTTTTATGTGAGAAAGAACCTCCTATCCGAAAGCATGTCATATATATGGTCTGTATTCCCGGAGGTTCCATAAGGTACCAAACGTACTGGAGGACGGCACCAGGTTACCTCATAGCGTATACATGTAAGCCCAGCTAGTCTCTAGAACTAATTCACTCCTTAAGCTTATATCCTGACTCAGCTTACGATATTAGAGTAACGGGTGCTTGCAGGCAGAGAAATTACTATTCATTCGACACAGGAGGTATCTTATTGTGCCCCCGGAGTATGTGTCGATACTAGAAGGAAGACCGAGTCATGATAATCGTGTTTTGTTTTGATGCTGCATTATGGGTACTTGCAGCCTTGTGAGACTCAGTTGCCGAACCTTGTATGACTCGAGAGAGGCTCGATCGAGGGCAGATTTGGAGGCTCCAAGAGGCGAAGTGGAACTGATCTGAGGCTGTCAAGTACATGATTAATTGGCCTTTGAGAAGAAATATCCCCGCCTCCTAAATGCGCTGACAACGCATATACACCTTCATGAAATATCACTCGACAATTTAAATATTCTACCCCTCCTTTAATACAACCAAATATAACTAACGCGATTTCTGCACTTGCACTTCCTCCCCCCAAGTACTCTCGAGCGCACCGGGCCTTTTGCGCACTCGAGAACACAGCCCCCGCACCCTTCCAGTTGTGCTGCTTTTACAATTACCATCCGCTTCTAGTGGAGGCCGATTGACGATTATGATGATGGCGTTTATCTAGGTTCCTGAGTAAGAAATAACACATGTACATATGTAGTTATTCGTGAGCTGCGCCACTGCTTAACCGCGGGCTCAAATACTCTGAGCGGGGGATATAGATAGTGATCCCAATAAGCTAGGTAAAGAAGAGCAGGTTTTTCAGTAAACCCACAACCAACCACAAACCCCAACACGAGTGATTACCCATGAAGAACTCCGCCGGATGCCAATCATTATTGGCCGCCAAGACATGTGCCCCACTTTCCCACCCTCCCCCATCAAGAGCACTTGTGTATTTAGATGGATGTGTGAGCAATTACACACATGTTTTGTTTTTGTGTTTCTCGGGTCGCGATGCGCCCACGGGCGGACGGTGGAGGGAGATCCTGGTGTAAACATTGCTGGAACTGCCGCGCGCGCGCATGGGATTTACAAGACTCGTTTCTTCTTTCCTTTTCCTACTTGGTGAGTTTGGTAAACAGATTGGAATCGATGGGTGCACCGGGTTGCGGCGCTCTAGCGAACGAAACGAAGCATGAATCGCGGATGCCTACGTCGTTCATGATCGATCACAGAGAGGAGTATTTAGAGTTCGGAAACAAATCCGATTATCGGGCCCGGATTCCGTACGTGCCCTAAGTATATGAAGGTACTAGAAGTAGGTATTGTATCCTCCTCCTTCCCTGAGAATCTTAATCTGTGACACGGGTTTCATAGGCGAGCGGCTGTGCAGGGCTTACTTCCGACCAAGGATGATACATTTAGTAGAAGGTCAAGAAACTCAAGTGCGTTTTTTTTTTCCCTCTCTCTCTGGCGGGAGATCACCGATGGTGGATCTCCAGGCGTGAATTCGGAGGGAGGAGGAAGTGGTGTGATATGGATGATGGAATAATGGTAAGCAAGTAAAGGAAGTGGTTGGGCACGGGCCTGACGAGGATTGTCCATCAACCACGGCGTTTACTTGCTACATGAACACAGTGCGATGGATTGCATTAGAGCGCAAATCTTTAATTATAGGTAGAAGATATATAGATAGATGTCCTCTATTAATTGCTTCGTGGGCCAATATGAGTACTACATGTACGTAGATAGCAGTATCAGGGCCAACTGTAGCGATACGGTGCACGATAGGCGAAAGGTCAAGGCCGCAGACAATCAAGACACTCGCCTAAGAGATACCGATTCCCGAGTTGCGGGGGAGGGGAAGGATAGAGAGGAGAAATGACTTAACTACAGAAGGTACAAAGACCCCTCAGATGCTGCAATCCGTTAGGATGGTTTCGGCGGAGGTAAGCTGAAACACTGCTGCACCTGGGCCTACAAGAGGAGCGCTTTCTCCCACTGGCTGGCTACTCTCTTCCCATGGTCGAGAGCTGACAAACATGCAATTGGGTTTTTGTCTAATGGGAAAGGAAGAAAGGAAGGAAGGGGTTCACCGTACAGCATGACGCGAGGGGGGGAGGACGAGGGCAGAGGAATAAGCTTGTGTGCAGCCACAGAAACGTTAAGTGTGTACCTACATGTATGATGTAGGGTATCTCTTGTACCTGACTTGACCTCTCTTCGTCTTCTTCGCAGCGGGAGATGTCGTGCGTGTGTGACATATCGCATAGACGATCGAAATCAAGGCACCGCATACATGACGCTTGCGCCATAACGGATTAGGCCCAACCCCAGATTGATTGCTGAACCTTGCGCGGCTTAAGGATCTGGGGGGAAGGGGAGGGGATGTATGTAAGAAGAGAGATGAGATGGGGGCAGACGGGGGAGGGGAGGGGGGAGAGGGCGTTTGGCTTTTTCCGTCGACGTGCAATTTAACGTATATTGGTCAGTTGGGGCAGGACCCGTCGGATATCAGGATGCGAGTCCTTGCTTAGGCGTAGAAGTGCATTTTATCTCGAGCTGAGCTGATTGATAGGTTTACATATGTGGAAATAAATAAATGGCAATTGGCAACGGGGGCGCGCCACGGGGGTTCAATCCAGCAGGTATGAGAGAGTTTTTCTGACCTAGATGCCTAGATGGAGTAGAGACTACACAATTGTAGGAAGCAATGATGCGTGCAGAATTGCATCTGGAGGGGAAAGGTGTATGTGGATGTTCTGATAGGGCGAGCCACAACCGCTACCCAAGATAACCTAATCCTGCCCTCTTTTAACCGGAAACAAGCTATTTTACTTGTGACAGCCTCTCAGAAGCGTTCTAATGATGGCAAGCGAGTTGTCAAGAGCTGCGCGGGGAGCCAGTGAGGAAACTGGATGAGTCCCATGAGGTGTTTACTAGCAGCGAGAGAGCGTGTCTTCTGTCGTATTACGCTGCCTGCACGAACGGTTCTGTATGTGTGTGTTGGTTGGGTTGGTTGCTGTGTCAACGATTGAGGGGCGTACTGGGTTGACACCCTTGATTGATCCCTTGTTCTTGCACCCTGCCTAGCCACACTTGAATCCTAAAGCTAGGCTTTTAATACAATACTGGGTGTATTCCCTAAGTATCGACGCAATCAATTGTTGTTTTACCGCCGATGATTCTCGAGACAATATGTATGATGATGCCGAAATGTGGCAGAAAAGGACTTGAAGGAATGAACGAGTGACTGCATGCGTGACATGTACGCACAACGTAGGTAAAATGTATCAATGAGATTGGTACTGTAGATCATCATGTTCCCCGGGAGGTCTACAGTACTTGTACCGAAACAGTGGAGTGACCGGCTCCCTCATCCCATGTCCTTCTTTCCTTTAACCAAAGGCAGCAGACAACGCCGCAGGACAATTGCGATAAACAAAACCTCTGATAGATCTCTGTCTCTCGCTTTCTCTCTCTTTCGCTTTCTGATTCTTCTGCATCCTCCCAAAAGTTGATGGGCTGAGAGCGCGCATTGCCAGCTAGCTAGAGTACCATCTGTAATAATACATCCTGCTACATTGATAGCATTGTATCACTCATCCGCTCACTTACTCTATTGAATTTCCCGTTATCATACCCTCAGTTATCCTCCTCTCGTCCTTCTGCGCGCGTTGTCAGCCCACCCTTCATCCTTTCTTTCTCACGCACTCTCACTCACTCACTCTGTCTCCTGCTGCATTCATTCACTCAATTCAAGCATATTCCCCCTTCCATCGAAGGTCTATCCGCCACGAGACGATATTGTACAACGACGAAACAGTTGGCCGGGGGCCCCGTTGTTCTGCTTGCCAGTGCTGCCTGCCTGCCTGCCTGCCCTTGATAGAATACATTACACACTACTATCGCTCGCTACTATACACTCGTTTGGCACACATTTGCACACCATCCCATCCCCCCGTCCCTTTTCTTTCTTGCGGTGTCTCTCTTCTCTCCTACTTTACTTCTACAACCCAACAACCCACACACATCTTTTTCGCGAGAAGCTGCAACAATTCTATTTCATCCATCCATCGATCTGATCTATTGCGTTGCGTGGAGGAAAGGATAACAATCTCCCAGATACAATGTCCCAATTCGGAAACTTTCATGTAAGTTTATTATTTCTATTTTATTTCAATTTTTTTTTTTATTTTAGGAAACCATTTTCCTATTTGTCCTGGCCGAGAGGAATTTGGTTGTTAGCTTCTGGTTGCTGGTTGCTGGTCTGAATCACGAACGACGAGGAGGGATCGCGCAACAACAACGCAAGGCACACAATCCTGAAGAGAAAGAAAGAATCGAAACCTGTTTAGCTCCACGAACCCCGGGAATGAAACGAATGCTGACTGGTGGGGCTATGCATAGGACTTTTGTCGCGATTCGACATTGCCAGTATGCAACGTACGTTCTTCCTCTTTTAGATATCCTACCTACCTGCCTGCCTACCTACCTGCCTATCCTCCCGACATACCTACATCCTATCTCTAGCCGAGTTTATGTGTGTGTGTTTGCATGTGTTCTCGGCCGGTTCAATCGCTCGTCCGCTCGGTTCGGTTCAGTTCGGTCGGTCTAACATCAAATATAGCTTTTCAGGAATGGAACGGATCCGATGGTGGAGAAGCGGTGTCAATTGATTGGAATCGCGGTCAACAACAGTGATAATTATATAAGGAATTTGGGTGCGTCTATTTTGTTAACAAGCTTATTTGGCTATGGGCGCTTGCGTCTAAGCGTGCCGCCTAATATTAGACCACTGGGCTCGGGGCTAACTGTTTGTAGGTTCAATTGTACTAGCTGCGCTCGCGGTGTGTAGTTCAATAGGGTTGATACTCAAGTCTGAAAGGAAAAAGGCCGCAGTCGGACGAAGGTACTACTACTAATCACGAGCTTATCCCGCATGCAACTAATCACATTATATGCAAATTACAGGGAAATCCAGATATTCCTCATTGGCTACATCCTCATGTCAATCACCGAGATATTCTCTGTCGGCGGCTTCCTCACAAACCAGACCATTCTCGTATGGTTCTCGGCCCTCCATATTGGCGCCATAACAGCAACCGCATGGGTACTGATGCTTAACGCTGTTGTCGGCTACCAGCTCCTGGACGACGGGACGCCTCTCTCGCTTGGTCTGGTGGGGTCTTCGTTTTTGGCCTTCTTTGTTGGCACGACGTATGTTGCCGTGGATACGGGGTTCAACTACACAGGGGCCTTCACAAAGGACCCAGACAACATTAGGAACTACGCGCTGTATGTGCTGTATCTGCTGTTCCCGCTCATAATGATTGCGGCATATGTCATCCTGGAATCTGTACTGGTGATCAATGTGCTGGGAGAAAAGATACCAATGAGTAAGTATCCAATTGTCAGTTTGGGGGGGGGGGGGGGTTGAAACTAGGGATTATGGGTGTTAATAAGTGGGAAAATAGGACGTCTCAGTGCTGCAGCACTCTCATTTGCTGTCGGCCAGATCTTCAACTTTGTCATCAGCGTACATCTCTGCGAAGCAACAAACGGAAAGATTGACGGTGCTCTCTTTGAGACTGGGTTTACACTGCTTGCGGTGATCTTGTTGTGGTATTTCTGGAGCAGCATCACGGAGGATGAGTGGCCAGAGGACACAATGCGGCCAATGAGCGAGGTGTACCCTTGAAAAACACACACTACTGTTGCTAGAGGGGAAGGTGGATGATATATATCCCTTTTTTTCTTGTTTTTTCCGTTTATCCTTTTTTCGAAAACTAATGTGGCCACATGTATAATTTTGTTCTTTTTTTTTCTCTTTTGGTTTGGTTTGGTTTGTTTTTTGTTGGTATGTATTTTTTCGGCGATATTTATGGTTTTTTCTTTTCCTTTTTTTTCCTATATCCCAGCTTTTTTTTTCTTCACTTCTCTTTATCTTCTCTTTCCAGGGCCTCCCATTTTTTTTCGAAAAAACTTGGAAAACATTCCGGATCTTAACGCGTTCTCTCACCCTGCCCCTATCACCACCCCCGCGTCAATGGTTATGTGTCAGTCCTTTTTTTTTTTTATCTTATCGTTACATATCTTTGTCTTTTGTTTTACGAACTTTTATAATGCTTAGGGAACATGGCGATTTGGGGGGGGGGGGGGGGGGGTGGAGGGTTAAATGGAAATGCCATTCTTTTTACGAAAAAAAAAAAAACAATGGGATGGCTTGGTTTGGGTTTGGGTGGCTTTCTTCTTTTTTTATTTTCCTCTCTTCTTTTCCTCTTGAGGTAGTTTTTTAGTTGGTTGATGGTTGGTGTTGTGTTTTTGTTCTGGCTTGAGCGGGTTTTTCTGTTTTTTGCGATACCCTTGGCTTTTTGCTACGAATCAGTTTGGACAGAGAGAGGGAAAAGAAAGGACTACTGGGCTGGTTGGAGCTCGTTGGAGCTGGTTGGAGCTGTTGGGAGGGTGTTAAAGAAGCATTGCAACTCCTACGATACCACAGCACAGATATCCAGCACGAGCGAACGAATGAGGGCACACCACACAACAATGGGCTTAATGATATGGTGTATATGTTATTGGGATATCACGGGCTAAGCTGCAGGAGGATATGAGGAATTGCGCAAGCCTAGAAACACGTTTTTTTTAGGCTGTGCAGATCTTAAGCATTAGTACTCTAGTTCTGGTAGTAGGCGGGCAGACATATATTATCCCCCCGCACAGGCGGGCAGAAAAGACGGGAAGGCGGCGGGGATATAACCTAAGAAACAAACCAATTTTAAAAAAAACATTCTTAAAACATTACATTTCTTCTACTCTCTCCTCCCGGCCCCTCCTCGTTTTTCTACATATACCAAAAAAAAAAGGGGGGGGGGGGTATAGATTCGTTGTGTTATTCTCGTTAATATGCTAGTAATGTAGCAAGAATGCAGGATTGCTGCGGTATCCTTTTGCAATGTCAGTTTAATTCCGTAGTATTCACTAAATCCTGTAGTAATACAACACTGATTTCACCCCGTTTTTTGTACTGTATCTATCTACCCAACTCTCTCTCTCCCTCCACATCTACACAAAAAAAGTAAAAGTAAAAAGAGAAGAAACGAAAAAAAGGAATGTCCAACCCGTATCTGTGCTTCAACACAAGTCTCTGCGTAGCAGCTCTTCAGCAGGCCCGTCACCCCCTCCGGGGAGGGAGATCTAATTGTTGCGGCCCCATTTCTCCTTCCCTTTGTCCCCGCCCTTGATTCCTACTCTCCCCTTTCCCTATTCCCCGCCTTTCCCCCTTGACATAGTGCTAGAAAGTAGGGAAGAAACCGGGTTTCGGTTTCTTCTTACTACCTCCGATAGCTGTGCGTCCGGGGGTGGGGCGGGGGAGGTAGGGGAGGTAGGAGGGGGGGGGGGGGGGGAAGGAGGGTGAAGCCCGCTCCCGTCACCGTGGAGTTTCGGGGTGAGGGAGGGGATCTATGGGCCGCTTGCTTGTGGATGATATGAGATGGGGGTAGGGGGGAGAGGTGTATAAGTGGACCTCGAGAGAGGGGTAGTACATTAGAGAATTGAAGCTTTAGCTTGAGGTGTGTAACTTGGAAATGAAAAAAGAAAGTGGAAATGATCGTTTTGAAGGGTTTTTATTATCGGGATATAATAATGGAGTAATGATCAAAATAAAAATGAGGGTTTTTCTAAGGCTAGATACGTAAAATCGCCAGTTTTTCAGCATTCGTTCATTTATTCGGCCAAGAGCCATGCATATTATAATTGCGAGTTGTAGTTTTCACGGTACTTCTGGCGTGCTTGTTGAGGGGAAAAGGTGTATATAAAGCTGCTATACTCCTCACCCAAGTTCTCAAATGCTGGATCCTGCGTCTTCACTATGCTGTACTAAATTCGAACAAGACCTCCGAGGTACCTGTGGAAAAAAAGAGTATCCAATTGATTTTTGGAGGGAACTTTAGGAAGAAAAAAATCTCTCAATTCTTATTATTTGTGAGATTTCCCGAAAAACTCCTTTATGCTTTTTTTATTTTTGTTAAAAACACAAATGCCTGACCCCAGCGAAAAGAAAGAAAAAAACCCTATAGCACACCCACATTTTTCGTCAGCATTTCGTTCCAGGAATTCCACAATTTTCTAATTCCCAATTCTCTCCGTTTCGTCTCCATCCCACCTTTTCTCTCCGACTCCAAAGCCCCTCTCCAATACCCCCCTCCCCCAAAAAAAGCAACCAGAAAGACCACACAAACCTCTAGTGCTGGCGCGCCGCCGACCAAACGTTCTTCAACAGACCATCCCTCTGGGCTAGCCTGTTGAGTGAGTCGTCGCTCTCACCCATGGATCGGACGAAGCCGCACAGGGCGTAGGTGATGTTCTCGCCGGTGTAGCGGCCGGTCTCGTCGACCTTTCCGACGGAGATCTGCACGGAGGCGTGGTCCTTGGCCTTGATGATGCGGTTGGTGGCGCTGCACTTGCGGGGGACGTAGCTATGGCGCGTGCTGGGTTAGTATGCGTAGTAGAAGGGTGCGTGCTGGGGAGCGAAGGGGGAACGGTACAGGTCGACGAGTTCTCCTAAAGGGGGGGTTAGCTAGCTGTCTCTATTCTGGGAGTAGTCGGGAATCTCGGACTCCCGAGATTCGATATTCAAGAGGGGGGGGGGGGGGGTTGCGTACCCTTATCGTTTTCCATTTTTGGCGATTTTGGTGGTGTTTTTAACGGTGAAAAAAAAGGACTATCGTAGACGGCAATTAACTCGGGGAACCGTAGGTATCTTTGGGGAGCAGCGAACTTGAACTTACAGTTGATATCGGGGGTGCTGGTGTGCTAGGGTGCGGTCGGTGGTCGTGATAATTTCCGTGTGTATCGATGGGGGTTGGTTGCTTGTTTGGTCGTGGGTGGTTGTGGAGACTAGGGCTTGGGCTGCGTGGGACTGCTTTTGCGGGTGACTAAGCAAACCTGGGGAGAAACGTTTTTCCGGGGGAGGGCTGTAAGGCTGGTGTGTAACGTGCTTTTTTGATCATTAGAGTCGAGTACAGTCGCTCACCTACTGACGGCGGGTCCTGTCTGATGGTTCTGTTTGCAGTAATTTGCCCTTGGCCCCTAACTCTGTTATTGGCCTCAAATCCCTGACCGCCGTCAGTGAGTGAGTGTATGTAAATCTCAATACAAAAAGGAAATACCGACTCAACATTCATATCCGCCTCGTCCACGGCCGCCTCTGTTGCTATATGCATATATCCGCCAACTACTTAGTCTCGTTTTGTCTGCCCAACTACTCTATCGCTGCCGCTCTCACACTACAACACCCCATCCTTTGGTTGTCTTGTCTCACCAGCACACACATCTAATATCAGGTCAGTATTGTGGCCCGAGTGGTATCGAAAGGAGGATGATGGTCATACTCTACATGTACTTATATCTGGCGGTTTTATAAGTGGCCGAGGAGAATCGAGTTGTATGGTTGAATTAACATCAACGATAACAGAAGGAACAGACTCGTTTTATAGCAATCAAAGACATGATAAATAAACACATACATATCATCGGGACAGCCGGGCTCGTTCTCTTGACACAGTGCTAGTAACAGATAGCAAACACTGTAAAAGCCCGATGTCCTTCTACCATGCTGTTCTCTGTCTTGCTCGATCGTTGCACAGCATGCAGGCCCGTGTTTGGTAAAGTTTGTCTGTCAGCGAGTACTCTTATACGTGCTACACAACACGGGCACAGCACCACACCGATCGATCTGCAGTGAGAGTTGTACTGTAAAGCTTAATACAGACTTGATGCCTACGGTGGACAGACACGGAGAGTACCGCCAGAAGTACCTACATTGTTGAAGAGTCTCCTCCATGTGCTGTGAGCTCTCACGATGTCGGCCTGTAGAGTACATACTGCATCCTGATATCCCTTCGAGGTCCACACCGTTATTGCTTATTCCTATACTAGTAGCTCGTCCGCTATGCTATATTTTCGATACTCGTCACCCTTTGCACTATCTAGCCATCCGTTCCAATTACAGTTGAACAGCACCAATCACCACCACACCAAACCCAGCTCCACTGCTGACTAACCCACACCACCGCCCCCAAAGCTCCCCCAGCGCACCCGCACCCGCACCCCCGAACCCCAAAGACCGACCAGACCCATCCATGGCCGACTCCGACGAGGACTACGTGAACTCCTCCGGTGATGAAGCCGGTGCCCACATCGTCAGCCGCCGCGGCGCCGGCGGCTCCAAAGGCGCGCGCCCGCCCTCGTCAAAGCCCAAGGTCCAGAAGAAGGAGGCGTGGGAGGACATCAAGAGGTCGTGGGACAATGTTGTCGAGGGCGCCGACGGCAGCATCAACGTCACGGGCCTCCTCGAAGCTGGGAAGCGCAAGAGGTACTTTCTCACCTGGATCGATCTGGGGGAAGCTAAAGGGAGGGGGGAGCTGGGCAGAGTAGACTCCGAGCAGAGAGAGCAGAGTGCTGACTGAGTGGCGGTGGGAATATATTACAGACTGCTCAAAGACACCACCCCGCTGCAGCGCGGCATCATCAGACATGTCATGCTGATCCTCGACCTGTCCATCGCCATGGCCGAGAAGGACTTCCGGCCCACGCGCTACCTCCTCTCGATCCGCTACGCGTGCGACTACGTGCGCGAGTACTTTGAGCAGAACCCGATCTCGCAGCTGGCCGTGCTGGGCATGCGCGACGGCCTGGCTGTGCGTGTCAGCGACATGTCCGGCAACCCGACGGACCACATCGAGGCCATCCAGAAGCTACGCCTTGACGATCCGAAGGGCTCCCCGAGTCTGCAGAACGCACTCGAGATGTCGAGAGCTGCGCTGTTGTAAGGCCGCCCCCCGACTACCCCCCCCCCCCCCCCGCCGCTGTAGGTAGCGGAATACTGATACTCACCGGCGGTGCGGTATAGTAATGCCCCAACGCACGGCACCCGCGAAGTAGTGATCGTCTTTGGCGCCCTGCACTCCTCAGACCCCGGCGACATCCACCAAACCATCGCCCACCTCGTCGCCGACAAGATCCGCGTCAGCGTCGTCGGGCTCTCCGCGCAAGTCGCCGTCTGCCGCGACCTCGTGGCCAAGACCAACGCCGGCTCCACAAGCACCTACGGCGTCGCCCTGGACGACAAGCACTTCCGCGAGCTGCTCATCGACACCACCATCCCGCCCGTCACGCGCTCGTCGAAGCAGTCGTCGGCCTGCCTGCTCATGTGGGGCTTCCCCTCGCGCGTCGTGGAGACCACGGCGTCGCTGTGCGCGTGCCACTCGCGCCTCGCCCGCGGCGGATACCTGTGCTCGCGGTGCTCGACAAAGGTGTGTGAGCTGCCGATGGAGTGCCCTGCGTGCGGGCTGATGCTGGTGCTGTCGACGCATCTGGCGCGGCACTACCACCACCTGTTCCCGCTGCGCAACTGGGTGGAGGTGCCGTGGAGCGAGGCGGGCGAGGCGAGCGCGTGCTTGGCGTGTCAGGTGGTGTTTCCGCCGGTGCCGGAGAAGGGCGGTGAGGAGTGGGGGTTGCCGGCGAAGACGGAGAGGGGCACGAGCGTGAGTAGTCGCTATAGGTGCACGGAGTGTAGGGGGCTGTTTTGTATTGATTGTGATGTGTTTTGCCATGAAACTTTGTATAATTGCCCAGGTTGCCAGTCGAGGGAGAGGACGGGTGGGGGGAAAGAGGCGCCAAATGGGGTGCCGGCGGTTGCGGCGGCGGATACGATGGAGATTGATGGGTAGTCGGCGATAATTCAGCTCTTCTTCTCTGTTCTCTCTTTTTTCTTTTGTCCTTTTTCTTTCTTTCTTTTCCTTTTCCTTTCTTTCTTTCTTTTCCTTTTCCTTTGCATTTTCCTTCCTTCTCTGGTTTCCCTTTAATTCTCTCGTTTTGTTGGCTTCATATACACGTGTATCATAAAAGGAACAGGTACGGAGTTTTGCTGCTTTTGTTTCGAATAAAGGTTGCTGTTGTTATTGCTGTTTCTATCATTGGCCCGGAACAACGGAGTGCTGGGTATGCAATTAATGAATTAAACAAAAAAAAAAAACGGAGTGCTGGGTGCGGGATGCATGGGATATCACTCGGTCATGCCAAGACACCATGTGCTTGGCAACGGTCGTTTGCATGTACAAGGCTCTAGGGAACGGATCCTCACCTGTCAACACCCCATGTAGTTCGCTCACTTAATGCCAGAGCTACTCTCATAAAGAATTTCGATTCGATTAGGGGTGACCCTCTCTGAGCAGACGGCGGTACATTTAATCACTGTCACTGTCATCTCCCCCGATGGGTGAGGGGGGGGGAGCAGTCTACGGAAGAGAAACCATAGCATTAGCACTAGTATTCCCACCCACGAAAAAGAAGTATGTGCTTCTCTCAGAGGTAAGGACGGTGAGCAGAGGGTAGATAGATAGTATTGGTCTCTTTGGACCCGTACCTCGGTCCCTATGAGCTTTGCTGAGCTGGATGAAGGTAAGCTGCCTGCGGGGGTACGTTGCTCATGAAGGTTCTTAGTAAAACGAATGAAGTGATCCGTACGCAATATTAATAGATGATATTACTACTACTTCCGTCACCGATGATATCTCGGCAAGAAGGTAAATTCTCCGCTTTTATCCTAACTAACGATACATGCTGGCCTAGTTATTACCAAGATTCTCATTACACCGTATCCTTCCAGATCTCACTGTCCTCACCCTTCTACTGGACTGCAGGTCTGCTCTCACCTACCGCACTACACACATATCACGCAAAACCACAAGGCGCCAAAGCTCGGAGCCGAATGTGACAACATGCACACACAAGTATGTTCGACTTGAGCGTGGAGGATCCAGCTAGGCTTAGACTCAAAGGCCGATAGTCCTCGTGCAAAGTGCTATGATATCGATACATAGTGGGGTTTCTCCTTTATACGTAGCTTGTCTCTATTTCTTACTAGAGCTAGACGTGTAGCCCCTAAAGCTAAACCCCCAAAGACCCAAAGACCCAAAGCCAAAAATCAAAAAGATACGGAAGCACAGAAGCCTGTTAGAAGCAAATAGACGAAAGAGGTCATACCCGCATGCAAGAGGAAGGAAGCTATGAAGAGCTCAAACTCAAAGTCAAGACGAGTGTTGAAGACGAAGAGCAGAGGAGATGGGAGTAGAGGATGGTCGGTATGTGATTTCCTAGGCTAGCTCGAACTCACATTGATATTGTATGTATGCTGGAAGCCGGTTGCCTGCATGCGAGACTGGGATTTATCTCGTACATGGCATAAACAGAAAGTGGCCAAAAACAGGGTGAGCTTAAATAGATATATAGGTTGGAAGACTGCAATCCAAAGTCAAAGAGCCCAAAGACCCAGAACCCACAGAAAAAGTTGAAAGTTCAAATGCCCTCGATGCCAAATAAACCCAGGTCTAGGCACCGACAAACAGACCTCATTCGAAACCTCCTGGACGGTGTGCCCAGCACCACCAAATTTCAAAGGGACAAGTGCAGTCAGCGGTTTATTCCCCAGAGCCAAAGCCACGAAGTCGGTGTCGATTATCTCCCCCAATCACCCTTGAAGCAAGGCAGAAAAAAAAAGGGTGGAATAGGGGAGATCAAAGAACGTACGGCGCAAAAGAACGGCCCCGTGCAGTCAGTAGAGACATGCCAAGATTAGTAGGGACATGAGTTTTGAGAGGTCTTGGCACATGGACAGTAGGTGCATCCTGATCACCTGTGCCAAGACGACCCTTTTGACGGGGTTCTGGCGACATACTATGTGCAATTATCTTTCCCTGTGTGTGCGCCGTAACGAATGACTGAGGGTGACTGAGATGTGAGTGATACGTGCACATCCTCGTACTCCGTTTTGGAGGAATGGTGCTACTGTAATACCCGTCGAGTGATGTAGTATGAAGGGGGAATTTAACCTTGGCGGGTTGTTGATACGCCCTTCTGCACTATTCAACTGACGTCTTTTCTCGACACGAAACACTTATATTAGGCGTGATGTATAGGCCTAGGCGACTGCCAACGGATAATATTCGGGGGATGGTTTGCTCCGGGACCTCACCACTTCATATTCACGGCGGAAATGGTGTGGTGGTGTGGGGTGTTTAGGGGAGAGTGGTGAGCCAGTACTGGGGGGGAATCAAAGCTGAAGGCCGTAACCAGGGCCAAAGGATCTTGATTGAGCACCACAGAGTTGACTTAGATCATTTAGCAGTGCCCCCCAACCGACCCTTTCCGTTTGAAAGTTTGA